CTCTCTCTCTCTCTCTCTCTCTCTCTCTCTCTCTCTCTCAGAAAAATGTCTTCTCTAAGGTATCTAAGGTATCTTCTCCAAAGCTCTCCCTCCTTCCTTCCTTTGTTCTCCTCTTCTTATTCCCTCTTTTTATCCTTCCTTTCTGACAGGTTGGACTCAAACTTACAACAGGGCATAGGATAACTTTCACCATCTGATGTTTCTGCATTCATCTCCCAAGTGCTGAGTTATAGGCATGCATTCACCATTAGTCCAGCTTCCACATCTATATCCAGTGGTGCTCTAGATGGGCTGGAGAGATGGCTCACTTTGGTAAAGTCCTTGCCATGTAAGCATGATGACCCAAGTTCTGTCACAAAAAACCACATAAAAAACTAGACATGGTAGCCTATACTTGTAATGCCCCTACTAGTGGATAGATGGGCAGATCTCTGGGCTTTTTGCCTGCTCAATCAGAAACTCTGGGCCAATCAGTAAGAGACTGTATCTCAAAAACCAAGTTGGATGGCCTGAGGAATAGCACCAAAGACTGACCTCTGGACTACACGTGCATGCTTGTGTGTAGTCACACACATACACTTACATAGGAAATAGATCTCTGTGTTAGCATCTACCTCCACTCTGTACTTTGCTCTCTAGTTCAGAAAAACAGTTCCTATAAACCGCACCAATACGGTCTCTACATGGCTCCTAGCTGGGATGAGTTCTGCTGAAGGGCGGGCTCCTCTGAACGCCTGCTCTTTCCCTTCAGGGTCTGATACCCACTTATTAGCCCAACTAGACTGAGAGCTGGTGACAGCTTGGCTGTTCTAGATCTGTAGTCTCCACTGTCTTTTACTGTTTCTCCAAATGTAAGTTTGTAAACAGCTCCTTTATACATACATAGTAAGCCTTCCTTAGAACCATACCATCCATTTCCTGTGGGATCTTCAACTCATAGAAGCTCTACTTTATTAGTTTGACTCCAAGAAGTTTTCGGTATGCGTTGAAAAAGAAAATATGTAACAGTAGCAACTACTGTTGTACGGACATCTCTACAGCCTCTGCATAGGAATATTGGGAACCATGTATAAGGTGGGTAATGTAAGAGCTGCTTCACAAAGAAAACAATCTGAGTTCACTTCCCTAAGGGTCTCACAGGAGTATTTGACTTAGGATTTCAGTCTCTTGATTCTAGCTCCGGATTTCTGTACCAAACCACATAAGGACTGACTGAGAAGGGTGTGAAGGTTGAGCTTCATTGTCAACTTGACTGATTTGGGAAACACTCCAACTGTTGTGTCCATGAGAGGGTTTTCTGAAAGATTTAGCTCAAGTGATAAGACCTATCCTTATTGTAGGCCACACTATACCACTGGCTAGGGACCCAAACCTAACAAAAGGGAGAACCCCATCTGAGCACCAGCTTTTCTTTCTCTGCTTCATGACTACGGCATAGTGGGACACATGGCTTCATGGTTTTCTTCTGCCATGCCTTCTTCAGGATGAACTATAACTTTTAACCCAATCCTTCCTTAAGTTGCTTTTGTGGGGTATTTTATCACAGCAATAAGAAAACTAACAAATAGAAGCCTTAAGAAAGAAGGGGAAAACCAGTTTGAGATGTGACATTAACTAGTCTGAATTGTTTTTTAATTTGTGTGTGTGTGTGTGTGTGTGTGTCTGTGTGTGTGTCTGTGTCCCAATATTTGTTTACTTGTTTGAGACAGGGTCTCATGTAACCTAGGCTGGCCTTGAACTCTTGGTATGCCTGCCTACTTCTACCAAGAGATTACAGGCTCTCACTACAACAGGCCAAGCAAATTTTGTGAAGTGAACAACTAAGAAACTATTTTTATGGTTAACTTTTAAAATGGTCAGGTCCTGGCCAAGAAGTAACTCAGTTACTGGGCTTCACCTAAATGTTATAGACCAGTGCTTGCCAAAGTACAGTTGTCAATTGAGAACTGACTCCATGGGATTGGATCTCTGTCTGTGCGCGCCCCCCCCCCCCCCCCCCCCCCGGGGGATTTCTGACTAGTGACTGATGTGGGAGGCACCACTCCCGAACAGGCAGTAGTCCCTAGTTGTATCAGAAAGCAAGCTAAGCCAGCAATGGAAGCAAGCCAGTAAGCAGTGTTCGTGCATGGTCTCTGCTTCAGCTTTTGCCTCCAGGCTCCTGCCATGAATCCCTGCCCTTGGTTCCCTTGATGATGGACTATAACGTGCAAGGAAATAAACCCTGCCCTTCCCATGCTGCTTTGTGGTTGGTCATGGTGTTTATCGCAGTAGTCCATATAACACAGTGTATGGTGTATATGTGTGCATGTGTGTGTGTGAGTTACAAAACACTGTTGCAACTTAAGTTAGAGAAATACTTTTATAAAACAACAGAAAGCTCAACTGCATCAAACTAAGTAAATCAGACTTACTAGAAGTAAAACCATGTGGGTTTGACACACAAAGCAACTTTTGTCTCAGTGGTTTTTTTTTTTTTTTTTTTTTTTTTTTTTCAGAGCAATTTATAACAATCTATGTTTAACAGAGACTGGTATACAGTTTTTAGAAAACATTCAGAGGCACATAAAACAAAAAGACAACACTACACAAAATTAAATTAAATTATGGATTTTCATTTGTGACAGAGGGCTGACTTGTCAAGCAATAAACATTTCTTATACCTAGAATGTTCCCAGCTTACTCTGCCTCATTCCAGGTGCTGGTAATTAGGCTGTGGAGTTAGTGGGGTTTCTAGATGGCAGGTGCCTTATGTGACTTACCTCAGCATCAATTACATCTGTAATGTACCTGGGGGTCAGCAGGGGCATCCGAACATACTGTAAGAGGTCAGGGAGAGACTCCTCTCGCTCCTTCTTGGCATGCTTCACCCAGTTGATAACAGCCTCAAAGACTGGCTCTTCAGAATCCACCTGTTAATGTAGAATTACACATCACGGACTTTTACTTTCCCAGTGAAAAGGTTTCCCACAAACTAAAAGCAGCCATGCTTACGTTCTGCTTTGTGCTCCCTGTCCTCCATCACTGTTATTTCCCATCCTCCAGAAATACAGAGGTTCTGGGAAAACAACCTTTTCAGATACAGGAAGAGAATTACAAACAACTTAAAATGAACTAAGATAGCATTTAATAAATGAGTCACATGTTGGCCTCCCTTTCAGAATTGCTTCCATTCTTGAATTTTTGTCTGGTCATTTCTGCAACTTTAGTAAGTAAACATGGAAGAGGAAACCTGTTATCCTAATTAAAACTGAAATAATTTTTATTCATAGTTGCCTCTGAAGCAAGAACTTCACTTTATCATCATAAATAACACTACAGTTTCCAAAGTATGGTCAGTCAGCATTTAAACGACTACTATGTGTTAGATTCTGTGCTGTTTTGTCATGTAGATTCAGATCTTTGTGGAACTTTATCATTATACATGATAAATAAAGTAAGAAATACCCTCTAAAGTATGAATTATGCTACCAGAAAAGCAACAGGCACAGTAAGACCTAGGACTTTCCAAAGGCAGTCACCTAGGTGCAGGACCCATGTACTCTCAGCAGTCTCGGGGCATATGTAATCTGAGGCTTCTTTTGAACCACTGACTGTGATTACATGAAAGTCAACCAAGCCGGGCAGAGGTGGCGCATGCCTGTAATCCCAGCACTTGGGAGGCAGAGGTAGGTGGATTTCTGAGTTCGTGGCCAGCCTGGTCTACATAGTGAGTTCCAGGACAGCCAGGGCTACACAGAGAAACCCTGTCTCGAAAAAAACCAACCAACCAACAAACAAACAAACAAACACCAAAAAAAAAAAACCAAAAAACCAAAAAAAGAAAAAAAAAAAAAAAGAAAGAAAGAAAGTCAACCAATACACCTTGTACACCTTTCCCAAAGAACTGTGGTACTTTGCAAAGCAGAAATGTTTGGGCATGTTCTTTCATTTTATAAATGTACTTAACTTCTACTAAGGGCCAGGTACTGACTTCACTGACAATGACAAATCAAGCCTAGTCCCTGCAGGGCAGACTCTGCCTTCACCTTATCCACCTGTCTTACCCTTCCAAGTCCTGGGATTGTAAGTAAGTACTACCAACTACCAATGAGTATAATCTTGTTGTGATTAAAATTATGCAGGGAAGTAGCAGAGCTATGAGATAAAAACAACAGGAAATTTCTTCATTCATTTTCTTCATTTAGGGAAAAGTCTCCCTCAAGTAGCAAGCTGAAATCTGATGGAAGAGCAGCAAATGACCCGAAAAATAAAAAGAGAGTACTCAAAGAGTTAGATTACACTGATAATTTCAGCACTTGGAGGGCTGAAACAGGAAGATTGCCTACATAGTGAGTTCAGGGCCAGCCAGGGATACAGAATAAGAACTTATCTCAAAATCTCCAAGAGCACTCTAAGTCAGAAAAAAAAAAAAAAAAGAGTGCACCAGAAGCTCTAGAGCTGCACTGTCTGTCACTGCAGTGTCATTAATGAAAATAAACAGAGCTCAGCTTCTTAGCAATACTAACTACATTCCAACAGCCACCAAACAGCAACATGCCTAGTGGCTAACAGACCAGGCAAGGAAATTTAGTCCGTCTTGAAAGAATTTTCTACAGGTCAGAACTGACCTAGAGCAGAGAGAACTGGCACGTAGGGACATTTTAGCTGACCAGCCTGACAGGAAGAAGGGTAGGTAGTGGCAGAGTCTGAGGTAAGCTCCAGGCTGCTGAAGAAGGATCTCTTATCCTAGTAAGAGCTGGATATCATTTGAATGTTTCCAGTGGGATAGTAATAAAGAGATGTTTGTAAACACTGCTGTGGTGACCGTGGGTAGAACATTTAGAAGGGCCAAGAGCTGCAAGATCAGTTCTAGTCTCCTTTGTACAACAGGCTAGACTCCAGTTGTGGCAGTCTTGGAGAAATATGTGTGAGGTCAGGGTGATCCGGATTACAGACAGATGATAGGAAGGATGCAGGATATTTATCATTAAGAAATATTTTTCTAGCCAGGCAATCGATGGTGGCATATACATTTTGTCCCAATACTGGGGAGGCAGAGTCATCTCTGTAATTCAAGGCCAGCCTGGTCTACAGAGTTCCAGGATGGTTAGGGCTACACAGAGAAACCCCGTCTTGAAAAATCTAAATAAAAAAAAAAAATATATTGTTTTCTTTTGTCTAAAAACAAATAAATTAAAATTTCAGAGAAAATGCTAAATGTGCCTATGAATGCTAATGATTCATAATGGGGAAAATAAATATTCTTCACAAAGGTTTTTTTTTTTTTTTAAATGTATCAGACAAGATATTTCCAATTAATGCTTGGGATAGTCCTGTGTATTATGTACTAATATTTTTAATGGGTTTTAATCATATGTTGAGGCTATAATCATAAGACACACTGCTTCCCACTATTTAAGTGCTGCTGGGACTATGCATGCTGTTGTTTGAGATGGTGTCTCACAGAACACAGACAGGCCTTAAGCCCTCAATCCTGCTGCTACCATCTTTCTGTCGTCAGTTATAGGATTACAGACTAGCACCACCATGCCTGGCTCCTGTTGTTTTATAAGAGGAAGTACTATGTAGCAACTGGAAGTCAAGACTTCTGGTTCCAGTTTTTTGCTGGTTTCCAGAACAGGAAAAAAAAACTTGTTGTCATTTCAGAAAAAAAAAAAAAAAAAAAAAAAGCCAGTCTTGATATATGAGGAAAGAAAACTACATAAGAGAATGCTCAAGTCGTTTTTCATCCTGGCCTCTGAATATGGCTAGCTACTTGTTCCCTCTGTTCCATCTTATTTTATCCAGAGTCTACAACAGGTCCAAAATCAATGATTTTTGTGCTGACTTCTTATGAGGGCAATTAGAAGCAAACCGGCCACCTAGTGGTGAGCTCACCCATAGCTTAATGTTTACAGGAAAAGCCTTGGGAATTTGTGGCCTGATTTGTTTCTGTTTTTTGTTGTTGTTGTTGTTGTTGTTGTTGTTGTTGTTGTTTTTTCCTTGTTGTTGTTGTTGCTGTTTGGAGAAAGGGTTTCTCATATAGCCCAAGTTAGTCTGGTACTCAATATGTAGCAGAAGAAGGTTTTAAACTGTATCTCCTGCCAACATGATGGAAATACAGGTACAAGCTAGCATATCCAGCTTTTCAATTTTTCCTCTTCCTTTCTTTTGTTGGTTTCTGGAGTCAGGGTTTCTTCTGTAGTCTAGGATAGCTTTGAACTTCACAGCTCTGCCTCCAGTACACTGGAGGTACAGATGTGTGGTATCACATCTAGCTGCTTGCCTGGATCTGAATCCTGACTCTATCACTTACTACCTACAATGGTATGATGGTTTACCTCTGAGCCACAGTTTCTAATAACTGCAGACAGATTTGAGGATCAAATGAGGTGGATGCCACAGAACAGACACTGTAGAGCTGGGTCCAGGGTGGTTCAGTGACACAGTACTTCCCTACCATGCCCAAGACTTACCAATTGCAAACTCTAACACGGAAACACAAAAGAATCAAAAGAGGAGGTGGGAAGAGGGAGAAAGAGAGTAGATGCACCAAGGGATAGGGATTTTTCCCATAAGTACTCAATAAGCCTTTGACAAAATAACCAATAGTAAATGCTAAGTACTATTTTCCTATAAACAGTAGTACTTAGTACCATCACTGTGCTTTCTCATAGACAAATCAAGAAGAGCCATGACAGGTGTGGTGGCACACACCTTTAATTCCAGAACCTGGGAGACAGAGGCAGGTAGATTTCTAAGTTCAAATCTAGCCTGATCTACACAGAAAATCCCTGTCTCAAAAAAGCAAAAAATAAATAGATTATTTAATAATAATAATAATAAATATAAAAAAGGAGTCATATTTTTCTAACCACTGACTCCTAAATGTGAGAAATACACTTTGCGGCCATGCCTCACAAGTCTGCAAAAGAAAACAAGGTCCTGCACCAAGGGGATGAGAACAAGACCAACAATCGTTGACACATTAGCATCTCTAACAGTGCCTCTCTAGGCTGGTATAAAAGTCAAGTTGGGAAATAATTTCTCTCTAAGTGTAAACAATATACCAACTGTTCTCATCAGTTTTGTCTTACAACAGTTGTTAAAGAAAGATGCATAGCAAAAATTGGCTAAAATTTAATAAAAGTATACTTAATACCTTTTACTTTGTAACATACATACCTGTTTTGTAGCCAATCAGACCAGAGACCATATGGTCCTTTTTTTAGGGGGTTGGGGGGTGGGGAGACAGGGTCTCACTGTTCCCTAGGCAAGCTTGCGATCCTCCTGTCTCAGCCTTTGAGTACTGGGATTACAGATACACATTGGTGTGCCTGGATGGTCACAGAATTTCTTTAGGTTGCAAACTCTCTTACAGCATGTCAAAGCATTAAACCCATTCTAAAACTTTCTAATGCACCTCTTACATAAGCTGAGGAACAGACGCTCAGTAATATATTTCAGTGGAGAAATAAAACTCAAGAGGAGCACACACAGGACTTGGCTCTTTGAATACCTTTCTCCATAGATATGCAAATAAATTAAAACTTTTGGTACCAGTATGGGCATTTGATTATGAAAACATAATATGGACACAGTCACTCCATCCTGCTCTGTAAGTTTAAGGAAACCGTAACACCAAGCCAAATCTGTACCTGAATCTCATCGCACTTGATTAGCTTCTCCACCTCTCCTTGACTCAGAAGAATGAACTCTTCGTGCTGCACCACTTCAGGAAAATGCTTCTGGCTAAAAACCTCAGCTGCTTGCATCAAGTCAACGCAATTGTGAGTTTCAGCAAAATCCCTGATACCCAGGCAATTAGATGGATCCAACTGACTTTCTAAGAACTCACAGCAGGCTTGTTTCACACCTAGGACAAACACAGGCAGTGAACAGACTTCAGGATACTTGGCCAAGTGTAAAGTGGCCTTCCATTCTTGGATTTTAACATCTTCTCTACAGTTATCAGAGGAACCCTGGCTCTACACCTCAACATACTCACTAGAACATTTATGGTCCAGGCATTTAAACATTAGCTGTCGTATGTACTACATCACCTTTAAAAGCCCTTTACACTTGCTTCTGCCACGTCTTTAAAATGAGTTTAGCAAGTTGGAACTAGTTTCAGGAACCATCAGATTGCTGCAAACTCTTACCTCTAGAACCAATCTAAAAATAGTAACTTAATTTACTATGTTCTTATTTTTTACTCTAGACAGTTGTTTTGTTAAGATTTACTTATTTTTATTTTGTGTGTATGCACACATATAACTACACCATGACATACAGTGTCTAAGGAGGTCACATTTGTCCCTTGGAACTAGAGTTAAAGGCAGTTGTGAATCAACATGTGAGTGCTGGGAACTGGACCCAGGTTCTCTGTTAAGACAAGTGCTCTTAGCCAGAGCCAACTCTCTAGCTCCTACAAACTTATTTTAAAACTCCAGTAAAGAAAAACAATCCCATAATTCTTTGAGAAATTCAGAATAAAATCTTGGATTGTAGCTTAACACAAAAGCAGCATTGCTAGTCTAGCATCTTAGCATATGCAAGGCCCTGGGTTCAATCCCTGGCACTGGAAAAAAGGAAAGGTCCAGTGCATGAACGCAGTTCTTGTTTGGTTTGGTTTAGTTTTTGAGGCAGAGTCTTACTATGTAGCCCTATCTGGCCTAGAGCTTGTGTGCACCAGAATGGGAAACAATTCCCTAGGAATTGATCTAGAGAATTGATGCAGACAAATATATGTCTGCATCTCTCTCTGGGAGTGCTAGGATTAATGGAATGTGCCATTAAACTTGACTTAATTTTCTTTCTTCCTTTTTTTCTTTGGTTTTTTTTTTTTTTTTTTCGAGACAGGGTTTCTCTGTGTGTAGCCCTGGCTGTCCTGGAACTCACTCTGTAGACCAGGCTAGCCTCGAACTCTCGAACTCAAGAGATCCGCCTGCCTCTGCCTCCCAAGTGCTGGGATTAATGGCGTGCGCCACCGCCCGGCTTGACTTAATTTTCTAAGTCTGCACTTAGTGTGCTCTCCTTCACTTCAGTCTTGCATGACAGGTGGGGAATGAGGACTGGACACAGAGGTCTGCGCCTGTAATCCCAGCATTCAGTAGGCTACAAAGGATCACACACTCAAGGCCAGCTTAGACTACACACAGTGATAGTCTTATCTAAAACAGACCAAACCAAACAACAGTAAGAATGTTTCAATTATGTGGATATACATAATTGGAGGTTGAAGAGACGGACTGGCTAGACAACTGAAAACATAGTACTCAGGAGGCAGAGGCAAGAAGACAGAGTTAGGACCAACTGGGATACAATTCAGGGCCAGCCTTGTCTACACAATGTAGACCAAAACAAAAAAAAAAGTACACAAACACACAGACATACAACACACACACATACATTAGAAACTGGAAAGGAGACCATCTCTAATGCAGTAAAAATTATATTTTAACAGTTATACATCAATTTAAAATTATTTTATTTACTTTTTTTTGAGATATGGTCTACCTATGTAACTCATGCTGTTTCTCCTTCTCAAGTATAAGATAAATTTTATTTTATTATTTTTATTTGTTTGTTTTGTTTTTCTGAGACAGAGTTTCTTTGTGAAGCCTTGACTGTCCTAGAACTAGCTCTGTAGATCATGTGGGTCTCCAACTCACAGAGATCTACCTGTCTCTGTCTCTTGAGTGTTGGAATTAAAGAGATGTACCACCACTGCCTAGTATAAATTTTATTTTCAATAGATATTTTTAAAGCAGACATAGAGGTGCATGCCTTTAATTCCAGCATTTCAAAGGCAGAACCAGGTGGATATCCTTGCATTAGAGGACAACCTGACCAACAAGATCCCAGATAGCCACAGTTACATAGTAAGACCCTGTTTCAAAAACCAAATACGAAAACAAACTGGGGGACTGGAGAGATGTCAGTTGAACAGTTAAAAGCACTATTACTCTTGAAGAAGATCTAGGATCAGTTCCCAGACCCCAGAATGCAGCCCACAATTGCCTGTAACTACAGTTTGAGGGGATCCGACACTCTCTTCTGATCTCTGTGGCCGTCAGAGGTCATATATTTGAGCATAATAATATATACATTAAAAATAAACAATAAAAGTAAACAGAAATAAATTTTCTTAAAAAGATATTTTACATGATTCAGACTTAAAGCTACAAAAATGTTTATACAATAAAGTCCTCTTAGCCTCTCCATGCACACAGACATCAAATGACAAGGTGAATAGAACCTATGTAGACATGAATATTATCAGTTTCTTGACAATTTTTACTATGTATGTATACATGTGTGTGTATGTGTGTGTGTAGTATGTATATATGTATATATTAAGGAAATACCTCTATTTTCCATCCTGCTTTGTTTGGTTGTTTAATTGGTTTATGTGTAGGGGTGCTTTGGAAGCATGTGTATCTGTGAACTGTTTTCAGGCCTGGGGCATGAGGTTCCCTGGAAATGGAGTTACCAATAGTCGTGAGCCACCAGCAGGTGCTGAGAATCAAACACAGAGTCTTCTGAAGAACAGTCCATGCTCTTAACCTGAGTCATCTCTTCAGCCCCCTTGGTTCATTTTAAGACGTAGTCTCATTTTATACACTAAATTGGCTTGAAACTTATGCAATCCGCCTGTCCCAGCTTCTTAAGTGCTGGGATTATTGGTGTTAGCCACCATACTTGGCTTTTCCATATTTTTAAAAACAGAAAAAGTTTAAATGTTTTCTTTTACAAGACCCAAATACTCTTACGTGTCGAGATTCTTTTGCATTGCTTTTGACTATATCTGATCTTCCATGCTCAAAGATTCAAATGTCATGCTTCAAGACTGATCTCTGAAAGTCTCTTGATTATTTTTACATCAAAGAAAACACTTCCAGGGCTAATGTGTCATGAACAAGGACACCTGTTATTGTCTGTACCTTTCAGCTGGAGAAGACAGGCTGCAGGGAGCAATTCTTGAACATTCTCCACTGTCACATGTACTGTTTCTGTGTACACGAAGTCCAACAGGATTTCCATGGTAGAAGCAGTTAAACCTTGAATGTCAACATATGGCTTCCCCTTCTCTGAAAGCTGAAAATTCATTAGTAGGAAAGTATGGTACTTTTAATTCCACAAGGTAAAGACAGAACCCACATTTAAGAACTTAAAGGGATGCTGGTACTAATTAAATATACATCTTATAAAAACAACAACCTGAGGCTGGAGAGATGGCTCAGTGGTTAAGAGTACTCTGCTCACTGGGCAGTGGTGGTGCACACCTTTAACCCCAGCGCTCAGGAGGCAGAGGCAGTAGATCTCTTGAGTTTGAGGCCAGCCTGATCTATAGAGTGAGTTACAGGATTGCCAGGGCTACACAGAGAAACTATTTCACAAACAAACAAACACACACACACACACACACACACACACACACACACACACACACACACAAAAAGGGTACTAGTTGCTCTTCCAGAAGACCTGGGTTCAATTCCCAGTACCCATTGCAGCAAACAATCATAACACTAGTTCTAGGTGGTCAAGCCATCTTCTGACCTCCAAAGACACCAGGCTCACACATTTGGAACAGTCATACATGCAGGCAAAACATTCATAAGCATAAAATAATTTTATAAAAAAGTTTAAATTATAATCTATTTTATTTGATTTGTATCTGGCAAATACGACACATATTTGTATATCTTCAAATAAAATGAGCAGTTGGCCGTGTCCCTAGGAGTGAACAATGGAATATCAAAATTTCTAGAGAATTAACCTGATTCCATATTACAACCAACATAGATGTCTTAAAGAACAGAATACAAAATTTTCATGAATATACCACTAGTGTCCATGTGCCTTTATGATAAAACATCTCTCTTTTCTTCTTTCCTCTCCTACACACCACCCCATATGCTATGTGGCTTTCAGGTTGTAGCCCAAGCTGTCCTTGAACTTATAGCCACTCTCTCACCCCAGACTTCTAAGGGCTGGCATTATAGACATTTGCCACCATGTATGGCTAAAATAGAAACAGTCAATGAAATTTCATGAGAATAGTACTCTGAGATTTGTAGCTACAACCTCCTCCAAGATCACCACATTCCTCTCATCTGCCCTCAGACTACATCTGGATAGAAGAAGAACATGAGCTCTTTTCCATCTTGCAATATGGCCAGTGAAAAGGCAGAGAAACCTGATACGAAGGAGAAGATACCTGCAGCCAAGAAGGCTGGTGTTGATGCTGCTGCCTCTGGTCCCTGGGCCACTGTTGCAGGCAAAAAGAGTAACCTAACCCTAAGGTTAAAAAGCCCAGGAAGGTGAAGCCCTATTGCAGCCGAAAACCTGTCCTGGTTAGATGAATTGGAAGGTATTCCCAATCAGCTTTGCATTCCAGAAAGGCCTTGTTCAAAAGGAAATACTCAGCTGCCAAGACCAAGATTAAAAAGAAGAAAAAGGAGAAGGTCTTTGCTATTGTCACAAAAACAGTTGGTGGGGACAAGAACGGGTGGTGAAGCTTTGAAAAATGCCTATTATCCTACTGAAGACGTGCCTTGGAAGCTGCTGAGCCACGCAAAAAGCCCTTCTTTAGTCAGCACGTGTGGAGGCTACGCTCCAGCATCACTGCTGGGACTGCTCTGATCACCCTCACCAAGCGCCACAGGGGCAAGAGAGTGGTTCTCCTGAAGCAGCTGGGCAGTGGCTTGCTACTTGTGACTGGACCTCTTGCCATCAACAGAGTTCCTCTGTGCAGAACACACCAGAGGTTTGTCATTGCCACCTCTACAAAAGTTGGTATCAGTGAGGCTAACATGCTCAAACACCTGACTGATGCTTACTTCAAGAAGCAGCACCTGCGCAAGCCCAGGCATCAGGAGGGCGTGATCTTTGACACAGAGAAGAAATACGGGATTACAGAGCAGCGAAAGGCTAATCAGAAAACTGTGGACTCGCAGATTTTGCCAAAGATTAAAGTTGTTCCTCAGCTCCAAGGCTGTTATCTCAGTTCTCCCTGAAAAACGGGATGTATCCTCACAAACTGGTGTTCTAAATTGCTTACAACCTAATTAAACAGCTTCATATGTTAAAGAAGAAGAAGGAGGAGGAGGAGGAGGAAGAGGAAGAGGAGAAAAGAAAGAGAAAAAGAACATGAAGATCCTCTGTTAACACTGTCTGAGCTTAACGGGAGGGGCAAGAGGAGGACAGCAGTGATTGAGAGCTGTTCTAGGCTATGCAGTGACATCATATATCAAAAACAAGATCAAAAGCAAAAGCAATAGCAAAACCTCAGAGCCCTAGGGCAAAGACATGTAGTTCCCATGACTCTCTTACAAGCTCAGGGTTCAGTGAGAGAGACCTTGTCTAAAAAAGTAAGGTGGAGAGGTGGAAAATCGGTTAAAGAAGACATGTGATATCAAGCTCTGGGCCCACCATGCCCTCACATGGGTTAGCACACTCATACTCACATGTGCTCACACACGCAAACTCCTATTACAATACCCTTATGCACTTCCATTATTAATTAAATGGCTTTGTCATACTTGATTTCTCTGTAAGCCCAAAAAGTAACAACAACAACAACAAAAAACATTCTTAAAAAAATCAATCCCGCCAGGTAGTGGTGGCGCACGCCTTTAATCCCAGCACTTGGGAGGCAGAGGCAGGTGGATTTCTGAGTTCGAGGCCAGCCTGGTCTACAGAGTGAGTTCCAGGACAGCCAGGGCTACACAGAGAAACCCTGTCTCGAAAAAAAAAAAAAAATTCCTCTATATTCCCTGCACATGAGAAGTAGGGAGACTAGGACAAAGACAGAACTCGAGGCCAGCCTGGTCTACAAATCAAGTCTAAGACAGCCAGGACACTGTTATACAGAGAAACCTTGCTTCTGAAAATAACAACAAATAATCAATTCCTAGCCAGGCATTGGTGCACACACCTTTAATTACAGTATTCTGGAGGCAGAAATTGGATCTCTGAGATCAAAGCTAGCCTGGTCTACAGAGGGAGTTCTAGGACAAGCACAGAAAAGCTGTGTTTAATGTTTAAAAAGAAGAGAAAAAAAAGGAAGGAAGGAAGGGAGGGAGGGAGGGAGGAAAGAAAGAAAGAAAGATGTATGAGAAGAAATGAGGGCTCCCTCCACCATCACCAAGATTCCAGAGATTTCTCAATGCTGAAAAACAGTGCAGGCAGACGTTCTCCAAGAGGACAGCAAACAGGACATGTACTGTTTTAGCAGGACTGTATTAGCAGCTAGCAGTCTTAGTCCATTTCAAGCTCAGCACTTCTGGTTAACACTCCCTACCCAGCTAAATGCCAATGCTTTGGGGGCAAACATCATGAAGTACAGTACAGAGATCTGTGCTGCTGTATTATTCAAGATGGTTTTTAAATTAGCCAGGATTAGCCAGAATGGCCTGACTGCTTTCTATTTCTCCTACAGCCTTATGACTGAGCATGGGAGTTAGTTATTTTTTACAGTCACATGCTGTAGAGGCAAAGCCTACTCAATGTAGTATTCTCAATCGATGTGACCTTGGCAAGGCATTTGTTGAGACCCTTCATCTGTAAAATAAAATGGCAATATTTACCCCTAGGATAAATGACAAACAGGGCAGTATAATAACTGGGCCCACAAATATAGCCGTTATTACCATGATACTTCCTCTCTTATCTGGCTCTAGCAGCTACTTCTTTATTACATTGACAGGTACTTTTTTTTTTTAATTTTTACCTTATGTACATTGGAGTCTTGTCTGCATGTATCTCTGTGTGAGGGTGTCAAGTCTCCTGGAACTGAAGTTAGACAGTTGTGAACCATAATGTGGGTGCTGGGAAACTGAACCTGGATCCTCTGGAAGAACAGCCAGTGCTCTTAACCACTGAGCCATATCTCCAGCCTCATGGTGATGGGTACTAACTAAAGAAAATACTGGTGGTTAGAGATACTTTTTAAAGAGTCTTATCATAGCCAGGCACATTGACACACACCCATAATCTCTGTACTTGAGGAGGCTGAGGCAGAAAGAGTATTTCAGGCCAATATGGGCGTTAAGATTCTTTCTCAAAAACAGATGCATACATACCAGAGGCTGGAGAGACTGTTAAAGCACTTGTAGCACCCACATCAGGTGGCTCACAACCACTGGAACCCTAGCTCTCGGGGATCTGATGCCCTCTGGGCTCCAAGGGCACCTGCTTGAACAGGATGCACATAAAATTCATGCAGGCACACACACGGAACTTTTTCTAAATCTTAAAAACAAACAAAAAGCCAGCACAATGAAGTAATTCAGATATATCTCTAAGTTTAAGTTTAAATATGTAATAATCATTCATATAACTCAAACTTAAAATACTTAAAAAGACTAGTTTAAATATTCTTTTCTTATTTATTTATTTATTTATTTATTCATTCATTCATTTTACATGAGTACACTGTCGCTGTCTTCAGACACACCAGAAGAGAGCATCAGATCCCATTAGTTTAAATATTCTTACTTTCACTTTTAAGAAACTTTTAAGCCAGGAGGTAGTGGTCTATCCCTTTAATGCCAGCACCTAGGAGGCAGAGGCAGGCAGATCTGTGGGTTCAAAGCTGGCCTGGTCTACAGGGTAAGTTCCAGGACAGTTGAGATTACACAGAAAAGCTCTGTCTTGAGAAGGAAAACAAAACAAAAAAACAAAAAAACAAAAAAACATGGCCGGGTGGCGGTGGCACATGCCTTTAATCCCAGCACTTGGGAGGCAGAGGCAGGTGGATTTCTGAGTTTGAGGACAGCCTGGTCTACCGAGTGAGTTCCAGGACAGCCAGGGCTACACAGAGAAACCCTGTCTCGAAAAACCAAAACAAAAAACAAAAAAACATATAGACAGACAGAGCAAGAGCACGCACCCACAAACACATGTTCGAGTTGGTTCCTTCCTTCTACCAGGTGGGTCTCAGGAAATGGAATCTGGTCCATGAGGTTTGATGGAAAGTATCTTTACTTGCTGAACCATCTTGCTGGCCCTCCTTTCTTTTTTTTTTCTTTTTAAGTAATTTTGGTTTTGGAGAAAATGTCTCATATAGCCTCAAAAAGCCTAAAACTGTACGTAGGCAAGTATGGTCTTAACCTAGTGGCTTTGTGTATATTGGGCAAGCATTAGACCAACTGAGTTAAGTCCCTGCCCTTGTTTTTTGAGACAAGGTCTCATCATGAGGCCAGCCTCCAACTCCTGATATTTTCACCTCCCAATTGCTGGCATTACAGACATGTGCTACCATGCCAAGCTACGTTAATACTGCATAGTCATTCACTAAATCCCCTCTTCCCTCACTGAAGTCAGCCTGAAATCTGCATCAGTAGCATAAATACTCATTTTTGACAATTATTGATGATTTTTTTTTTTTCCAGACAGGGTTTCTCTGTATAGCCTGGGCTGTCCTGGAACTCACTCTGTAGACCAGGCTGGTCTCGAACTCAGAAATCTGCCTGCCTCTGCCTCCCAAGTGCTAGGATTAAAGGCGTGCGCCACCACTGCCCAATTATTGATGATTTAAAGGAGCAAGTCATCACATGTCTTATTCAGAGCTTACCTATTTGACTAACACATTATACAGATTCACTGGTGTACCAGACTATGTTTTTTCATTATTGAGTGCTTTTATTCTGTAGCTCAGACTGGCCTCAAATTTATGGTGATCTTCCCACCGTCAGGACTGTAAGTGTGAGCCACTACATCTGGTTTCAAATTTGTATTTTATTTATTGAGTACTTGTCTGGAAGTTCTAACAGGGAAGAGCTCCTACATTTTTGGCCAAAGAATGGTGTGTTGGAAACATCACCTTTGACTGAGCAGCCCCTTCAAAAGACATACAGGACAGTGAAGAAAGAGCTGGCCAGACAGAACAGCAACATTAACCCTGGTGACCACTTGGCTGACAAATGTCATAGCTGAATCACCAACACAAGCTGTTTTGTCCCTTGAAATAAGAGGACTGTATGTAAGGTTACAATGTGAATTCCACTTATATAGCAATGACTTGCATTACCTCACTAGTGAACATGGCACAGAAATAATCACTGCAGGCAGCCAGCACAATCCGATGGGCAGGGAAGTCTTTCTGCTCCACTCTCAAGGTCACATCACAGAGGGTATTGCTCTTCCTGAGGGAGTTCATTGAGTTGAGGATGGACTTAGCATGAGTGTTTGTCATTATGTCTTTAGGGGCCATAATGCCGCCCATCAAGCACTATGGAGAAAGAACACAGGAGTCTTTGGTCAATGCAGCTACAAGGGAAAGATCACAATGAAGAAGTGGGAAACCAAACACACAATTAGCTCTACAAATTAGGGAACTAAAAGGGCTTCCTTAACCGCAAACTTCCACAAATACAATGCACTTTTGACCCTGACACCACCACAATCTAGCCAACATCGACTCCAGTAAAGGTTACCTCTTCTTTCTCCAAATTTCATCTTTTACATCTTCCGATTCAACCAAGCAAGAAGGAAAATATTAAAAACTAAAGAGCTGATTTGGAACATGCACAGATTTTTATCATTTTCCCTAATGAATACTATCTTAGTGTTACTACTGCTGTAATAAAACACTGTGACCAAAAAAACAGTTTGGGAGGAAAGGGTTTATCTGGCTTACATATCCTGAGTCACAGTCCAGTGAGGGGAGCAGAGGTGGGAACTAATATTCCAGGAGGTAGGAGACAATGGAGAGACAGTGTCAGGGTAGCTTACTGATTTCATGGCTTGCTCAATTTCCTTTCCTTTCCCTTCCTTCCTTCCTTCCTTCCTTCCTTCCTCTCTCTCTTTCTTTGTTTCTTTCTTTCTACTTTCTTTGCTTTGTTTTTTGTTTTTGACAGGGTTTCTCTGTGTAGTCCTCGTTGTCCCGGAACCCACTCTGTAGACCAGATTATCTTGGAACAGAGATCCGATTCTCCTTGCCTTCCAAGTGCTAGGATTAAAGGTGTGCATCACCACCAATCAGCTAGCTCAGTCTACTTTCTTACAGAGGCCTCCAGTCCAGGAGTGGCGGAGTGAGAAAATCCCTCCCGGATCAATCATTAATTTAAAAAATGCCTTATCAGCTTGACTGCTTGCAGCCTGGTCTTCTGTAGGCATTATCTTAATAAAGGTTCCCTCCTCTCAGATGACCATAGCTTTTGTCATGCTGACATAAAACTAGCCAGCACAAGTTTACTGTTTTAGACATGGTAGTAATCCAGAACATGCCTTGATGTACATGGGGTGTGCATGAGGTATGTGCAAATACTATGCATTTGACTCTACATGACCTCAGAGTCAGGTGTGGTGGTGTAGCCCCTGCAATCCAAGCACTCAGGAGACAGAGGTAGATTGCTGCCAGCTGTAGTTCACCCTAGTCTACATAATAAGTTCCAAGCCAGCCAGAGCTCCATAAAGAGACTCTTGTATAAACAAACAAACAAACAAACCAAAGAAGAGCAGCACACTCAGAGTTTTGGTGCCTATGGATTTCTGGAACCAATTCCCTATGGGTATCAGAGAATAACCAGAATTGCAAAGTTCACTTGTGTGGATCATTTGAATAATTATGTATTTGAAAGGCAATGTGAGGCCAGCCAGTGGTGGCGCACACCTGTAATCCCAGCACTTGGGAGGCAGAGGCAGGCAGATTTCTGAGTTCAAGGACAGCCTGGTCTACAGAGTGAGTTCCAGGACAGCCAGGGCTACACAGAGAAACCCTGTCTCAAAAATACCAAAAAAAAAAAAAAAGAAAAAGAAAGAAAGAAAGCAAGCAAGCAAGGAAGCAAGCAAGCCAACGTGAGGAATACTTTTCTGAGTGGACAGACTTGAACCATACTTACTGGTTTGCTCCTCATGACTTGCTAAATTTCCTTTCCTTTCTTTTGTTTTCTGGTTTTGTTTGTTTGGTGGTGGTGGTTTTTTTGTTTTTTGGGTTTTTGTTTGTTTGTTTGTTTTTGTTTTGTTTTTGAGACAAGTTTCCTCTAGGTATCCCTGGTTGTCCTGGAACTCATTCTGTAGACTGGGCTGGCCTTGAACTCACAAAGCTCCACTTCCCTCAGATTCTCCCTGAGATTTTCCTCCTCAGAACACTTTCTGGGGAATGCAATGGAGGTGCTTATGAAAACAGTCTTTTATTTGAGGATGCAAAACGTTCTAAAATGAACCAAGGAAAAAAGAAACTATTCTTCCAAAGTCCACAATCTTAATTTCTTAAGAATAAAACAGATTCTAAGTTGTCATTTTTTGTTTAGTAGCTACATCAAAAGCACTCAGAACACTCCCTCCAACAACTCTGCAACATCTATTTAACAAAAAAAGAGATGATTTGCTAAAGAAAACGTTTTTTGTTTTTAAAAGGTTTGCTTAAGTCAACATAGTTTCAACTGTGCGATTCAAGAAAATGGGGATTTGCTGAATTCTCTTAAAGTATCTGAAGATTATGAAGATTTCCTGGTGTCTTAGCACAGGACCCAGCCTATGACTGAACTTTAAGATTTGTCATAAATGACAGTAACCTCAGGGCAGCAACCTTTCTCCCAGCACAAAGCTTGACCATATCACCTTTCAGAAACGGCACATTCTAGAACAGCGAGCATGTGAATAGAGGGGTTCCATTCTGAATCATTCTAGAAGGCTAAAATGAAGAAGTGGGAAAAAAAAAAAAGGCGTTCTCCCCTGAGAACACTAAGCTTACCATCAAATATTAGAGCGACCTAGGTAGGCAAGGAGTTAGATATGCGGTAATCAAGGAAAATGAAACTGTATCTTGGTAGCTGTGTCTCCTGCTTATGTAGGGACTGCACTAAGTCTCCCCATGGTCAGAATCTGTGAAGCTGTATTTGGGATGTATCACTGTATCAGAAACCAAGACACAAGATACTTTACAAATTGTCAATAACCGCGTTAAAGAGTCTGTATTCTCAAAAGGCACTGGCTTCACTACAATGTGTTGCAGTTTCCAACCCTCCTCCCCTCATCGCGCACCTTGCTTTTTTTCAAAATTGTTGGGGGTTGGGGAGGAATGCCTTACAAGGGGACGTGAAGGCCACATATAATTTCAGAGGGAAAGAGGGTTATCTTACCTCCATAAACGGATATACCTTGCACCTCATTAATACTCTTAAGAAACTTCTTTAAAACCCCAATGCACTACGCCTACCTACCTTCGGAGGAAGCCCACTCCAGTCTATGGAGTATGCAGCTTTGCTAAATAAACGTCCCCTTAACTGTTTCTCGGTTGAATTCTTTCCTTTCAGGTTAAACCTTCTCCCGGGGTAGGCGGCAGCTGCTCAGAAGCTGAGTAGGCAGCGATATGCCTGCAGCGCCCTAGCGCCTCTCCTCCGGACCTGGGGGAGGGGGTACCAGGGCGGGGGGAAGGCCGCGCCCCCGGCTGAGGGCAGAAGGGAATGGCCGTGTGTCAGGGCCGCGCCCACTCACCAGGGCTCCCGGGCCGCCCGAGCGGAAATGCTGGGCGCGGGACTCGCAGGCGGCTGAGCAGCCAGAGCGCCGCTGCCGCCGCTGCCGCCGCTGCCGCCGCCGCCGCCGCCGCCGCCCGGACCAGCCGCTGCGGAGCAGTCTCCGTGGTAAACTGCAGACTCCAAGCTCGGCGACCGCGCTGGGTGATGACATCACGCCGCGGGAGGGGTGGACCTCTCCTGGTTTACGTCATGTTAGGAGACTGAGCCGAGAAGTCCTGCGTACCTGAGAGCTCAGAAAAAGAAAGAGAAGAAAGTGAGTAGGGTGGACGTGCGCAATAGCGAGCTGGAGGTCAGAAGGTCCCCACGCGGTATGGCAGGCGGTAGGCTGCGTTCCCGTCACAGTCTGGAGACCCACGGGATTTAAAAGTTCTCCAGGTTGGTTTGTGAGTAATCAGGCTCCCCTTCACCTAAGGAGGACTTTTCCCATCCCGGATAACCACAGGGTCCTAAATGGGTCTGTCACCATGAGGCGATTGCTTCCTTCAATCCAACCAAAGAAAAGGAATTTGTGGATTGACTGAGCTACCAGAAATTGGTCGCAGTAGGAGAAATGCAAAGGCCCTTCTCAAAAAAGACGCTATACCCATCTCCACTGCCCTGACTCACCGTGGTCATTCATTAGTGCTGAGATTCTTAGGACTTTTGTTTTCGTTAATTTTGACTTTCTGCCTTGTGGCTGAGAAGGGAAAGATGTTTCTTGTTCCAAGCATATATGAATGACTAATTGGATTATCCAGTTTTCCTTTGTACAGGATTTGATTTTTTTTCTTTCTTTTTTTTTTTTTTTTTTTTTTTTTTTTGGTTAGGTTTTTCGAGACAGAGTTTCTCTGTGTAGCCCTGGCTGTCCTGGAACTCACTCTGTAGACCAGGCTGGCTTCGAACTCAGAAATCCACCTGCCTCTGCCTCCCAAGTGCCGGGATTAAAGGCGTGTGCCACCACTGCCGGGCCAGGGTTTGGTTCTTAAGGATAATAAAGTGTAGTCAAGTAGGCAGCTTCTTAGTTTTACATAGTGTTTCTTTCATGTCATAACTTCCTGATCCCAAATTGTTCCTGACAGTTAACTATGGTGGATAGAGTGCAGAACTGATAGAAAATCTTTTGAGGGCACTCTGGAAATATTTGTTAAAATGGTCAATGGAGATATATATTTTGTTTAGTTTTTGTAGTGTAGTCATCAGACTGTCGTGGCAGGAGTGCCTCCCCACCAAATCTGGACCCAAAACTTCTAGAGCAGATGAACTTAGGGTAGCTAGAACAGTGTTGGGAGCCGACTCTTAGCCGAAAGTGGCTATCATCTTTACAGCCATCTCGAGCCATATACCCTGACAAGAGACTTGTTTCAACAGCCTGCAATAGCTGAGCGCACTCTGATAAACATCTTTTTACACTGTTTAGTGCCCCCAGCTGCCAGGTGCTCCTGGTATCCATGGCTACAAGGCACGTGATGTAGTGGCTTCAGTTGAGATTGTGCACGAGGGCAAGTCACGTGGTAAAGGGTATAAATACCCAGGATTTCCCTTCTATAAAAGAGTAGAGCAGTAGAGGAGTAGAGGAGTAGAGAAGTCGAGGAGGTAGAGGTAGAAAGGTAGAGGTAGTAAGTAGTAGGAGGTAGTAGGAAGTAGGAAGTAGAGGAAGGAGAGAAAAAGTGAGAGGTGTCAGGAGACTGAAGGAGTGAGAATATAGTAAGAAGAGAAGAGAATAAAGAAGACTTGAAGAGACTCCACCGGACTCTGGCTTGTATCTATCTTTTGCGTCTCTCGCCCCTTTTTTCCCCTTCCTCCATCCCCACTCTCTCTTGCTAGACCCTGACCTGCCGACCGGAGCAGCAGAACCGGCCGGCCTTTACAAAGTAACAGAACCTGACGGCCGTTACAAAAGAAACGGCAGTTACA